GCATTTGGTAAAATCCCACCACAGTTACAAATCTGGTTCCTAATATAGGAACAATTGAACTTGATTTGGAACATTATTTGTCATCTTTTTTTAAAATGTTTGTTTGTTTTTATTTGCACTATTGTGTAAACTATTCAGTTGATTGCTTCTGTTAGTAAAAACAAAACCCAAAAGCAAAAAAACAGGAGAGCGATAAAGTGATTATATTATTATGACCATCCTCCACCAACAGGATTTATCAGCACAATTTATAATCTGAATTGTCAGGATGTGCAGCACAGGTTACTCTTTCTGGTCATTCAAGATCAGCTGATAACACATGAAGGCTTTTGAAGAGGGAAGAATGGGATTAATAGACAAAATGAGAATGTATGGAGGAGCCAGGTTATTATGACGCAGCACCTCCTGCTAGGTCCAGTACACACGATATAATTTCCTCTCAGATGCCTGATGCTTTTACCACATATGTTGCTGCATTAACGGTAGAGTCCACTCATGTGGCCGTGGAGTTTGGATGATGACCTTTACTCACAACCACACCTAAGTGAAATAGCAGTTTGTAATCCCTTTTATAGGTCTGTTAAGAGGGTTTGCTGTAAGGCACCGAAGCCAGAGAGATCTTACCTGCCAAATATCATAGGTCTGTGACAAAATGAAATAGAAAGCCCGTTCAAAGCAATATCTGCAGACAGTAACAACAGAGGTAAGGAACCTAACTATATTCACTGCCTTATCCAGTAAAATACATGAAGAATACCTTTAGCTACAGTGTGGTCTTGATTTCCTTGGATCAGATCACAGTCAAGAAGTACTCACAATCACTGGTGTAAGTGTGAGGACATGAAAAAAGGCACCAGGTGATAGGGATGCTCATCCATACCAATATCCCATCTAAATCAAAGCTCATTCTTCTTTCCCTTAGGAGAGTTGCCCTAAAAAAAAAAAGTGAGTGAACCCTTTCTTTCACTGCTATTTTCTGTGACTGAAGGATAGTGACATCCCCAGTTTACCCAAAGGTTTCTTACTTGCAAAGCTCTGTGTCAGTTCTGAGTTCATTCCAGTGAGGACACAGATGCCTCTTCCTCACTGGCTTTCCAGTTCCTTCCTCAGTGCATTCCATCAGGAATAAGGAACTTTTTGTTTTGATAGTTTGGAAGCCTAAACATGGGCTGACATTTCGTCTTGTAGTCCCCTCAACTAATCTAATTGGTCCTTATCAACTTTTCTGTAGTTATCTTGAAACAAACTCTGTAGCCATCCTGCCCCCGGATGGATAAATTGAGAGCATTAAAAAAAAAAGTCACAATGCTTTTAAAGTTAGAATAGAATCATCAAATTTTAGGGGTTGGAATGGACCTTACAGATCACCTAGCCCAAACACACCCTGCCAGGGGTGCCCACTAGACCAGGTTGCCTATGGTTTGTTTCATTGTTGCAGGATAAAGTTTTTTCCACCTTTTTGCTTCCCCCCCTCTTTTTTCTTTTCCCCCCCAACAGTGCACTGGAGGCTCCACAGACTCATCCCACAGGCAGAGCTGACTCCTTATCAGCAGGTTCAGGCTCAGTCACAGCTGCTGTAGGCCTTACACCACACTACAAGCTGGGTTGTCAGCTCCAAGGAAATCATGTCCCTTTTTGCAGAGCCATTCCTCCACAATTCCCCATTTTTCTTTTTGAACAACCCAGGCTTGGTTAATAAGTTTCTGCGAAAGTCACTGTAAGCATTGTAAAATACAGGATAATATTAATAAAACCCCAAACACTACTACAAGCAATGTACAAAGGGTTACCTAGTATATATGAGAATCTAATTAATAGCACTATTCTAGCTTATCAGCAAAATGACCTATCTGTAATACAGTAAAACTAAACCAGACCTAAAAACCCTGGCAGCAGGAGAAAACAAGACCATTGTAAGGTGCTGGATTGAAAACACAGGAATGTATGAAGATAGAAACAAGGTCGGCGAGACCTACTTGTGTCCCATTTTGATTGCTCAAGCATTCCTTTAACTGTTGCTCAAGTCAAAGCTCCTCAGTTAGCCAGGCCCCAACAGTAGCCCACCTGAAAACTGCAGTGTTCTCTTTTGAAATTTGACCACAATTACATATCAGATCTGAAATTACCATCTATCATAATCTACAATGTTATCCAGCACGTGCTTCTGTTACAGTGTTTGGGTGAGCTCATTCTTATTGAGTAACTGGTAGGGTACTTATTAAGGGAGTAAAAATAGAACAGTGGAGCTGACATTATTAAGAGTCTTCCTTAATCTTCCTTAATTTGAAATGTTGACATCCCTTAAGGGGTGCTATGACACAACACCTGACACCAACACTACTAAAGTCCAACTGACATCACAAGAATCCTTCCCTCTCCCCCCTTAGGACAGCAAAACCAACAGGACTGGATTCCAAGCTGGATATGCCAGCTCAGAGATTTCTGAAAGAAAAACTGTTGCCCTTAAAGTCTTAGGAAAACTTCAGCAACTTATTTTCACATACAGATAAGTGCAAAAATGGAGTAAGAGCTTTAAAGTGAATGACAATCTTTTTCAGGAAGAATATTTGTATTATATTAATAAAAAATTATTATTGACTATTTAAAGATTAATGGGGTTGTCAAAGTCCATTTGTTGCTCTAATAAGGCAAAAGGCTCAAACTTCAAGAAGCAAAGGAACTCAGCAGAGTCAGTCTAGTAGGTGTATTCTTGTTTTATATTATTTACAATTTAGTGCATAGCACAATTTTTTTCTATCAAATAGTTCAAACATTGACATAAGACAAGCAGGATGTCATTAATTTATCTTAATTCTGTGTTGTAAGCCTTTTGAGAAAGTACCTTTTTGTGTTCAGACAAGCAATTCATATATTTATGCCTGCCCAGATCAGTGTTAATAGTTTGCCTTTCTACATGGCAGAGCAGGAAGGCAGTTTTTCATGCACAAACATGGAACCAGTCAATTTACTACATGTAATCTGCCTGGAGCATGTAAATATATGGTATCTCTGAAAAAAAAATGAAGATGTTTATTCACCTCTCTTTACCTTAGGTACCTGAAGTGAAATCACTAGTATAATACAAATGGTATCTCTCACTAGAAGAATTCACACTCTTCTCCTTGACTATAGGAAAAATGAGAGTTTAGGCTCCCAGTTTGGACACTTCTTTCAGTGATAATAAAAAAAAAAGGCCAACTGTTGTTACTCATTGCTTCGTGTCTCCTACTAAAATTTCTGCCCTAGGAACTTTGTGCCTTTTATTTCATAGAGTCACAGGTTTCCTCCATATGTCTTGTGCTCTAGTTAATGCCTTTCAGCATCTTTCCTTTTCAGGTGAGCCTTACTGCCCATTGCCTCCATTACAGACTAATATATATGTGTGTGTGTGTGTGTATACATGTATATTAATACACAATACACAAATACATATAATACACAAATATATACATATTTATGTATGAAATCAACATAGTTCTTGGCATTTATCTTCATGATTATTTAATTAAATGTCTTTTTTTCAAGACAAAAAGTACATTGGAAAACATTTCTGAAATTATTATTTCAGAATATAGTTCAGAAATTATTTCAGAAAAGTATGTAAAACAATATTGACTTTATTGAATCTAATATTATTTTTTTCTATGCCTAAAGCTAAACTTTTTAAATCTCTACTCCCTCTAGAGTCAGTCAGGAGCAATGTATTTGTCAGCGGTGTGTTTTAAATGAGTTATATTCTGGACACGCCTGATTCTCTGCTGTGGTTATTGAAAGAATCTAAATAACTAGGATTAGTATTTAAATGTCCACAGTTAGGTTAGATAAATCCCATCCATAGAAACTTAATGGAAGAACAACTTGATCGTTTGCAACACCTACAAGGCAGCATGATTAGGAGAAGTGTTCTCAGATCTGTGTTAATCTCTGTTGAACACTGTTTGTTTTTCAAAAGCCTTTGGGTTTCTTTCTCAGTAGTAGAGCCAAAAATAGTAAGTGATCATTGGAAATTATGCCATTTGCTAAAGAATAATAAGTTAATTATTAATAAATAGAGAAAATGGAGATTTTTTGAATTTAGCTGATATATTTCTTTGAAATTTACTGTCAAAAGTTTTCAGCCAGTTTTGACTTGCTGCCATCCAGGTTCTAAGGTACTTTAGGCACACAAAGCCCAATTGAAACTCACAGAATTACTTCAAAGAAAAAGGGCATTTGCAATTTTTCTCAGGCAAATAAAAGACTACAGAGATAACAAACCATGTGTTTGCTTGCTGAGTGTTCTTTTGCAACCATTGCTTATCTGAGAAAAAGCAGCTGAAGATTATATAGTCCTAGAAGTAGGTGAGATGAAGGCAGCTGGACAGTTTCACTTTTGTTGGCGTGTAACTTAGACACGAGTTTTATCAGTGGAGGGGTGGCCTTTGTATTCCCTTTGGAGTCTACAAGGTCATGGAGGTTTAGTAGAAGATTTAAGGACTTTATAATGATGACCATTTCCACACAAGACAAACCAGTACTAAAAGTACAAGTGCTGCTTGGCCTGCTAACAGGCTGATTTGGCTACTTCCAACATTCTTACAACCTGTGGCATTGCTGTCCTTTCTTTACCTGAAGGAGCTAGGCTGGGAAAGGGAAGCTGACAGCTAGTAAGAAACATGGAGACAAAAAGTTTGAGAATTCAACTGTACAATCAGTACTGTTGCACCTCAGCCATTTGGTAGGGACAGAATGTGTCATGGGCAGCACAGATTTGGACATTTCTGATTAGACTGATTCCTCTAAAATTGATTCCTCTTAAACATCTGCTGCTGATCCCTAGATCCCACAGAGAGGACAGAGAATTACTCACTGTAGCTAATCTGGCAACTCCACGTCAGGGTCACTGGGAAGAGGGAAGGGAGGTGGTGACCTCTGTGTCTGAGTCACCCTTTTTTGCCCAGCCCTCACCTTTCCTGATAAAAGCCCTGCAGCCACAAACACCTGGGTCACAAACCTTCACAATGTGGCCCTGCTTTGGCATACATGCTCTTCTTATTGTGGCTGTTACTCTGAGTCCCACGACTGCCACAGCATGGAGTGAAAACGATGTCACTGAAGAAGATATATATCCCCCTCTGTGGGACTTTGCCCCTGGAAACCTGCTGGATTTCCCAATAAAGGACAACAAAATTGTCATCAATGCTTGGAACTATCGAGAACGACTGGGAGTGTATAAGGTCTTGCTGAAGTCTTCAGCCAAATATTTTAGTGCCTTTGGACCCCAAAATTCTGGCAATATTCTCTGGGGATTACCGTTGCAGCACGGTTGGCAATTCCGTACAGGTATGAGTTATGTCCTTAAAATGTTAGATTAGAAAAGTGCCTACCAGACCTGCTTTGAGTCTTCCTTTCCGAGGTGTCTGCCTCACAAGCCCAGTATAGCCTTGGATGGTGTAAACTTTGACATACTGAGCTAAGCTGCTTATGTGAAAAAGAAATCCTGAATGAAGGGAACACCCTTGCCTTGTTGAGCAATAGCTATTGAAATTCCTCATAGGAAGAGGTCAGAATCTAGGAGATCTGTGGTTTAGATGAGGAATATTTCACCTCCTTGAAAATCTTTGAAAAGATATTTCCAGTTGGTTCAGTTTACAGTAGATTGATTTCAGGGGCTGGACTCTGCAGTGCTATTCTTAAATTGTAAACAAATAGAATTTTTCTTGGTTGCTATTGTTATGATCTCTTGGAGGTGGTTTGAGTTTCTTTTCTAATTCAGGTAGTAGAAAGTCCGCCTCTCCCTCTGAGAATTTATTTCCATTTGCTCTTTATGATCAGTTTAGGAAAAGCCTCATTATTTTCTGGAAAAGATTTTTACAAAAATTAAGGTGTGTTTTGTTTGTTGGAGTTGGGTTTTTGTGGGTTTGGTGGGTTTGGTGGTTGTTGCAGTTTATTTGGTTTGGTTGGTTTTAAATTATGTCCAAATTCTAATGGCTTATCCCCTAAAAGCTAGTTGTTATCTGGGGCTGTCATTCATGTTTGTTTGTTGGCTGTGCCAGGGAAGTGGACACAGAAACACATGTGAAATGTCCCCTAAGGCTAAGGCTGCAGTACCTTGTCAGAGGCTTTATTAGACACATTCTCTCACAGACTGCTTCACACACAGCAGGCAGTGAAGCTGTCCATTCAAAGCCAAAGTAGACTTGCCTTGTTCTAGCAACATGAAAAGGGGGGAAAGAGGGAATAAGAGTCAGTTATGTTTCAGGAACTTCTGCCTAGTGGTAACAAAGTTTAAGCAAAAGCATCTGTATGCCCCTTGTTCTCCTTATTGGATGTAATCTGTAGTTTCATGAGGTGGTGGTTTGGCTGAACCTGTATGTTTGTAAGAAGACAGAGGTGCTGCAGCAGGTGATGAAGGAAGGATTCCAGCATTTAGTCACACCTAATGCAAAATTAACTTCTAACCTAAAATGAGGAAAGCGAGGTAGGAAGCAAAATCCAAGAAAGAAACTAGCTGTTAAACAGAGAGCAACAAGAAGAATTTGGCTGGAGTTTAGGCAAGATTTTTCTTCTTTCCCTTCTTTATGTATAGAAAAAGAACAGAAGATTAAGAGGATGGCTGGTGCAGCAGGAGAATTGACCCAATGTGTGGCAGAGGCAAAGATTATTGGATGCAGAAGCAACACTTGAGTGGTGACCTGCTGGAAAGGATCTAGTTACGTAGTGTGGCCTCATCCACAAAGTGAGGTTGTGCCTTGTTGCAGTGACAGTTTCCAAATGTAGAGGAACACAGTAGATGAGAGCAAGATTTGCACCTGGTTGCATAGACAGGTAAAGGTGTGCTGGCACCTGCCAAAGACTTGTAGGACTGATCCTTACATGAGGAGATTTATTTTTTAAATTATATGACCAGAAGGTTAAAAAAAAACTGGGAGGAGAAATATCACATGGCTGGAAAGAGTCTTACAGTTAGAAAATATGAAAAGTTGAAGGATAAATGGAAAAGGGAGAAAGAATGGTGCGTACAGTAGTAAGGTTAGCAAAGGGCTAAACACAATCCAGATAGGCAGCTGGGATAGATTAGTGAGGAATGACTGAAGCATTTGTGTATCAACATAATAAGCTTGGGCAAAAAACCCGCAGGATTTGAGTTCATAGTGCAAGACAACAGATCTTTGAAAGCACTACAAATATTGTCGAATTAACAGTTTCTCTGGTCTTGAAAGTTATGTTACTGAGAAAATATTTTCATGGATATTGTTGTGTATAAACTATAAAGAGTAAGTGAAGCTGCTACTTAGTAAGAGTGGTACGACTATTTGTGGTAAACTGTTCATGGACATAAAATAAAATCACTAATTTGCCTAAATTTACAGTACAGGCAGTAATATAGAGACAGCAAAGCTGTTAGGAATGAGATTGTGGAAACAGAAATTGTCACTTGGGAGATGACACTAGACTGAGAGTCCTACCTGCACAAACTGAGGAAACTGGATATTCTCTACCCCCACTTCACACAGAGAAGCACAAATCCAGGAGCAAGAACTTTAAAAAAGATTCATGTGGCATTGTATGTCTGAAGAGCAGGAAAGTATGCACCTATATTTAAGAAGGAAAAATGGGATGAGGACACAAAAATATTTATTTCTCTTACACCAGCAGTAGATGAGACATTAGAAAAAATGTAGAGGAAAGAATATTTAAAGACCTGGAGCTAAGTAGAAAAAGGGATAAAGCACAGCTTACATGAATCAAAGGTAGACTGTGTCAGGCTAAATTGAAATCTTTCATGATATGAGTGATACTTCAGCAAAGTCCAGAAATTAATTTCCTCCCTTTGTAAAAGCAAAACAAAGAATGGAAATTTTTAATGATAAGAGTGAAACAGGGAACTGCAAATCTAGTAAAGGAACACTTGAAGGAGAATTGTGATGAGTGTTGCTAAAAGAAGTATACAGCTAACTGGATGCTGTGCACAGAGTTCTTCATCAGCAAGATGAGAACTGCATTTAGCATTTTCGGTAACAAACTTTCCACAAAAAATAGTGAAGAAATCTTGCTGATGAGGTTTCATGTAGTTGCCAATGATGTATGGCTGGGAGGCACTGTCGATACAGAGAGACACTGATAGCTTGTGTAGACCTGAAGACTGAAATATCATGTTAAGCACAGGGAATGGGACAGAGCAGAGAGAACAAAAATGGAGTGTAGGCCTGGAAGTGCAGTTAGTGCTTCCAGCTCCAAGTAATTTCTACATATCTTATAATGGGAAGTGTCCCTGCCCATAGCAGTGAGGGTTGCGACTAGATGACCTATAAAGTCCATTCCAACCCCTAAAATGCTATGATTCTATGAATTATCACTGATACTGCCTAGGACTCTTCATTCTTCCAAAACACCAAGGCTAGCAACCTTTGGTGAACCTCATGTGCAATTATTCTGTGAGATTTTGTCTTCTTTTTCTTCTTAGCCTTTATTCTTCCCATTCATCCCTTTTGCACACCTCTTTCTGATGCTTTGCATTGAAGTAGAATCTTGAAAACTAGACTATTTCTGTAGATATTAAAAAAAATTGGTTTTTCATTAAAAAAAACATTCCAGTTGAAGTGCAGTCCTCATCACTGCAAGTTCATGCTCTCAGTGCTCTGCTGCTGAAAGATGCAGGTCTGACCAGCTAACATGCCCTAAAGCACAAGTTCTGTCCAGCCAGCTAGGGAGCTTAATTAGGATGATCTGTATGCACATTGTTCATGATCATCTCTTCTTCTTGAGTAAAAAGTATCAGAAAATTTGGTTTGGTAATGAAATTTAGTTCTAATCTGGCAGAAATGACACTATCGTTATTCAGCTGACACGTCAGAGTAAGTGCTCTTCAGGGCAGAGTTTGAGAGCTGGAATAGCTCAAGCCATTAGGCCAGACCGTGGTAATTTCATGTCATGCACTTAAAGCAGACTTCCTGGCTCACTACATGACTACTTACCACATAATGTACATGCATGTTATTCTTTTAGGACTTAGACTAGTTTTTCCTGTCATGTGCTTAAACTAAAATATGCCTTACAAGCTGTCATGAATAATTGTGAAATGTCTTGCATGTTTGCTCCAGCTCAGCTGCTTGAAAACCTGGCTAATCAGGTACAACAACGTTTGCATGTTTAGCTTCACAGTAAAGCCATGTTTGTATGCATGATTAAACTGGAAGAGATTCTGTTTCACACAACCCAATTAGGTGAGACAATTACTAGCACATTTAATTTGTGCTATTCTGTTCATTAAGCAGCTCTTCTACACTAGCAGCCCTACATCTACTGGAAATGATGCATCAGCTATGCCTATGTTTATGTTGTATGTGCATGTATATTTATATAACTGTAAAAATATCACTGTGATGTCCTGATTTCAGACAGTTCCATAAATATGCAGAATACATTTCCAGTGAGGGATAAATCAGACTGTAAAACACAATTAAATTACTATGCACTGCATGAAGCATTGACCGAGATATTTAACTACTCTAGGAACAGTAGTTTGTGAAGCAAAGCAGCAGTGATTGTTTTGCTTCTCTGAGCAAAGTTCTTCACACTTTACTCCTATACGTTTGGGGTTTTTTTTATTTTAGTGGTATTTCATGTGTGGCAAAAGACTGAGAAGTTTCTGTTGTGCTATTTCATTTGATTCATTCAGGTAGGTTAGCAGATCCTTCTCATGCAACTTCCTGTGGCTATGAAAGTGGAAACCTCCTGTGCCAATCTGTAAGAAGCTGGTGGTCCTGTAAGTATGTGCTATTACACTGCTCTTCTCCAAAATAAGATTAGTGTCCTAGAATGCCATTTCTAAATCTTTCTTCCCCTTAGACTTCTCTATTAAAATGTAATTTCAGTGCTACATAATTCTCCATTGCAAACTTGCAGCAAGGCACCTAAGTGTCAGTAAAGGAAAGTTAATTGATTTTGATAACTTATTTGAGGAAGGAGGAAAAAAAGCAAATTTTCAGCCTTAAAAATATTTGCACTGCAAAAAGTTATGTAAAAATGTGTGGGAAACACCATGACAGGTATCTGTCTTTGTAGGTATTTGCAGATATTTGCAGTTTTCAAATACTCTCGAGTAGATTTGATCAGTTTAGAACAAAGTTCTAGCACTTCTAACTAAAACCTGGTATGAGAATGTCAAGCAAGAACTTTTGTAGTCCTTGCATCACCCTTGGTTCTTTTTTCTGAAGCACATTTTCCCTCCATCACTTCTGTCCCTTGCTCCCTCAACTTCCCTGCTGACTGGTCCCTCT